CTCAAGTTAAACCGGGGATAGTATAATAGTGTACTGGATCTAACCTATACGCGTTTAAACATTGTTCGCAAAAGTTCTCAAAAACATCGGCAAGTAATAACACGCCTGTTTTCATATCAAGATTTCGTTAAAGATTTGACAATTAAATTTATACCAGACTTTTTTCGCATGCTCATATTCACCATCGGATATACCAGCATCATAGAGAGTACTATAGAATCTCTCTTTGGCTGGTAATTCGATGTCATCCAACTTACTTCGCGAGTCTAAATACTTGTCAGGGAAAACACCTTTTCTCGTTAATAATTTAATTTTTTCGCGATCTGTCACCGTACTGGCAAATACGGATTCAACAATTTTATATTCGTTCAAGGGGAGGAGATCAACTAGACCTTTAAAGCTCGCCGTTACAGCATGAATAATTAAGTTTACATTATGTTCATTTACACTTTCTTCTATATAATAATCTGCTAAATGTAACAGGTTTACATGCTGATCGCTCTTCTCTGCGGTAAGATGAAGAGGGTAAACGGAGAACTTACCGTACAAAAACCCGAATCCACGCGCCCGAAAGGACATTCGCCCGAAAACCCTTTGCCCGAATCCAGGTGCCCGAAGCCGAATGCCCGAAGGGTGTTACGTCCGAAAAAAATATATGTAAATTTATATGTAATTAAAAACATTTATTGCACACATTTGCCGGTATTATAATTGAATATTGTTAGCTAAATTTTCCAAGTATTTCATCACTTCATCTTTCTCTTTGAAATGCTCATACGATTTTACGAATCCTCTGAGGTCTACAGTGATGTATTCCGTACGCCACAGCAGCAGAAGTAACTGATTTGAAAACAGCTTGGTACTGATGGGTTTCTTTGGATGATAGGAGGGCATACACCAAAGGAAAAGCTATGACACTCGGTTCACTTTCTTGATCGTTAGTCCTTGAATACTTTCCCATGATAGTGAACAACTGCAAGGAAATTGATGGTGAAACCTTGAAAGTGCCATCTACGTACCAAGTGTCACTGTTGGCTAATCGCTCCAAGTTGTTTCGTGTGGCGAAAACCAATACGCGTCCCTCACCAAAAGTGTCATCCCCTCGAGAGTCATAGCAGAGAAAGCGTTCGTTGGACAATGTTTTTTGGAAACGGTCAGGCAGTTCCTCGACGTCGTCTAAACTCTTCGGGTCAGGGGCATGTTCATGCGCAGACTTCAAGGGTCCGTTTAATACAATTATTCCTGTTGAGCTTTCTTGAGTGATTGCTCGCGCACTGCATTCTCCACGTCGTACAAGCTGACAATCCCAATATCGTTTGTTATTTTTCCTTCTCGCGATTTAACATATGTGTAGCCATCTAACAACTTTTTTTTAGCAGCAATTCGCGGCAAGGCAACGTTTAAATCCATTTTCAGGTTCATTAATAATTTTGATAAGACCGAAAAATGAAAAAAAATAAAAGGAAACAGAAGGAATGACAGCAAATTTGAAGGTTTGATAAACAAATGATCAATTGTTTTTTTGTGCTTCCTGAAGTACGTACATATATTTCGAGTTATTTAAACAATTTAAATTTGAATTTACTTAAAATGTAAAGTGTGATAATTAATTTCTTCATGTTTACTTTTTATATTTATAAATATTTATTTTTTTCGGGCAAATATACTATTCGGGCGAATGGCTTCGGGTAAAACCATTCGGGCGAATGGTCATTCAGGCGAAAGTATGTTCGGGCATTTTAATTCGGGCGCGTGGATTCGGGCGAATGGGCATTAACCTATTATACACTTGTTAAAAATTTTTTTTCGCAAAAACATTCTGCAACCCATCGCGCTATAAATTCGTTTTTAACAGCGCCATTGCGCAAACTCGCGAGTAATTCTAGAGCATTCTTGATGAGTGCAATGGTGACCAAGCACTCATCAAGGATAGTTTGATAATTGGGACGCAACGCAGGTCACCCAATGCCTGCAAACTTTCGTTTACCAGGCATTGTCGCGCAAAAATAAATAAAAAAAAATAGAAATAAAAAATATAAAAATAGAACAAAAAAATAATAACCAAAAAAAGATCAATAAATACAGTAATAAATAAAGAAAAAATGAAAAATAAATAAATTAATAAAGAAAGAACAATAACTAAATTAATAAAGAAAGAAAGAAAAAACGCACTTATATACGAATCCTTAATCTAAGTAACACACAAAAAAAGAACCAATCACACAAAAAAACTTATAAACTAAAATTAAATTTCAAAACGCAAGAAAGAATACAATAAATAAAAGATCGCTCTTTTACAGTTTGCTTTGCTGTGACTAAGCTGGTCACAGAATAGAATGAGTTTCACTGTTTGAAATCCCTAAATTTATAGCTAAATATCAGCATGCGCAAAGAGTTGAGTTGCGTAAATTTTGTTGTTGTTTTTTTTGTTCTTTTGACCATTGTGGACAAGTGATTAAGAAAAGCTTATGGACGCCGGGTTCCGTACTATCACTTTTGGAAATATATGCGTCCCATGGAATGAAAAACATTCCTTCATCATCTTGACAATTAGCATCATTAATATGATAATTTGATTCATTATTAATACAAATTGCTTTGAAAATACCAAGGAATTGAAAACAAGTACATTTTCTATCGGTATTACATCCTCTTACAAGGGAAAATAAATTTTCAAGGCAATCTTGATTAGTGAAATGGGGTCAAAATGGGATAGGGGGCAAAACGGGATAGTTGCCTTTATTCACACATTAATGAACCAATTATGGTCATATTGCGCATAATGTGGAACCAATATTACAGTTTTCAGGTGGTGAAAACATTGAACCACGTTTTTTCTTTGTTTCATGAAAAAAACTGTTTTCAGTGATTCTCTTCTAACTTACCCATTTTGTTCAGAACGTGTCTATTTTATAAATAACAGCATTTTTTATAACATTTTTTGTTTTTCATAAGTGTCACTGACTATTCTAGAAGGTAAACATTTGTTTAATTGTTTGTTGAATCATAATTTTTATTGGTTAGCTAGCATTTAAGTGTCATTTCGCATGGGGGGGGGCAAAATGGGATATGGAATTTATTTTATCATATAATTAAAAGCGTATTATTGTAAGTACAAGCGTTGAATAGTTTTGTATCAATATTTCGTTTTTCTTGTAAAAGGGTAAAAAATTATAAAAGAAAGATAAGTAGAGAAAATTGGTCAGTAGAAAGCATGAAATATGCGGTAGGCGAAAAATGGGTTAAAACCTAGCAGCAAAAATAATTTTGTCGCTCAAATCACTTTAAAAAAAGGTGAAGATGCAACCTTTGGTTTCCAAGTTTACAAGAAATAATAGGTTGATTTTTTTGTAAACAAATCTAAGTCCATTTATAAAGGAAAGGAATAATTGATAAAATTTAAACCAAACATAATTGGTTTGATTTAGGGGTAACAATTTTGCTGCAAGCTTACATGCTATCTGGGAGTATATTACAGTTTTATATATTCTATCTTAACATAAAAAAATATTGACAACCTTAAACAGCACACACGCATTAATAATCATACTGTTTCAAAGACTTTGTAGAATTGTGCATGCGTCAGTTTTATTCTAAATGAAAAATATCATTGACTATTATACAAGTAGGCCAGTCAATAAAGACAAAAAATGCCACTAATTGAGCACCTGGAATAGTTTAATTAATAAATGTAAAAAACTAATAACTTTTTATTTCCAAACATTCAATTTTTAAACATAAATCATCGTATCTTCGACAAATATTAAACATTTCCAATGAGATTTTGCATACTTCCGCGTTTGGGTCCATAGATGACGATAGTCTAAAAAGAATGTTGAAATTTGTTCAATTGTTGACCAATTTTTAATTATAAACAAATACCTGTCGGTAATCATACTCACTTATCTTCGCCGACAAAAAGTCTGCGGGGAAGTTCATAGTTGAAAGAACTTCCAGTGAGACATTTGTGTATTAGGATATAATGAAGTTTTCTGTAACGTTTCAAGTAGATTAATTCAATAGTTTAAAAAATATTGAATTTTTAAGATTGCGCGTGTGGCGCGTCAACGAGTAGGCAAGTGAATAGAATCGCTGAGCAGTTCATTACATGAAAAATTATCACTTTTATTCATTCATCAGTAAGTGATACGAAGAGGAACAATCTTGTAAAATTTAAGAAAATTGTTCCTATTTGTATCACTTATATTATTTGAAATACAACACATATTTAAATTTTTTTTTGTTCTTATACCAAAGGAGGAACAATTTTCTTAAATTTTTTTTAAATTGTTTCTTTTTGTATCACATATATTATTTAACATACATCACATATTTTTTAAACATTTGTTTTTATACCAAATAAGTTCGCTTCGAGTACGGAACCCTCGATTTCAGTGCGAGTGTAACTCGCAGTTGTCCGATTTTATTTTATAAAAAATATTTTACTAAAAAAATATAAGAAACATAATTTTATTTCAACTCACAATATTTTTATTGTATTTACATTTTCTGTTTTAATTGAATTTAAATAATTTAAATCACTTAAATGAGTTAAAGAAATTTATTGCTTTCGCCGCGAGGAACCCAAATTTTTATAAAATGAACATAAAAACCCCCTATTTTATTTTAGAGTTATAACGACTGAAGAAATAAACTTAAGCAAAAAGTCCACTGTTTCCACTTCTTATCATGTTTATTAAATTATTTCTATAATCTACACATAAAAATACGTAAAAGTAGTATATTTGAAGCCCTTTAGATAAAATTTTTTCTTTAATGGGAGAAAATTCATGATTTTTTCTAAAATTATCAGTTTTTTCTTGACAGCTCCAGAAAAATCAACTCCAATCATCCTCGCTATATTTTTTTGTAATCTACACGTAAAATACGTCAAAATATATAAATTTGGTACACTTACGTATTTTTACGTAAAACTTAACTTAGCTTAACTTAACTTGGGACTTGGAGATCTTCATATTGATGGATAAAACTGAGACTCGTACTTTTTATTTCAAACAGGAAAATTTAGAACTTGTTGTTGGGATCACTGTTGTTCTCGAGAATCTTAGAACCAATTGTAGAAAACAGGACTTTGCTGTGTTGCTGATAAATTTTAGCAAAAATGAAAATTGTATGCACTGGTTCGTATAGTTAAAGCTCACTTAATCCATTATTGTTTTGCTTTTTCTTATTACTTTATTTTTCTAGGATTTCTTTTTGAAAAATTAGCTTCGGTTTCCTGTTTGATAATGGTTTGTATAGTTTTATAATATTTATTGATTTTAATTACAGTTTCGTGAGAGTAATTATAAATTTTGTTTCAGCTACTGAAGATAATCTCTCGTTACCATAAATCTTCTTGTTAATCGAAAATGAATATCTGGATTGGTTTCTGCGCCTGATTTTGGAATTAGCATCGATCATCACTTAGACAGAGACATCAAAAGCAACTCTGTCCTGGAGCATTACATGAGGTGGAGGAGGAGGAGGTGGAAAGTTGTTGTTGTTTCTCCTACGTCGGTTAGATATCTTTCGATAACATAGATAGATATTGCGACACAGGATCAGCATCAATAGAATGCTTCCTACTAGTAGAATTTCCATCCTTTCTTTGCCGTAGGTGAAATATTCCAAATTGTGTTTATTGAAATGGATCTAGACCTCCTATTTTTTTACAGAAGAAATAATTCTTAAAATTGAATTTAAATGAATACAGTGTTGTTAGTTGCCTCATGAACTGACGTATTATAATTAAACATCAAAAAAGGTAAAAGACGATCCCAATCGTCAAAATCCTCAGCATAATCTTTAATAAAATCTGTCAACTCAATATGACTTCTTTCTAACGCTCCATTAGTTTGAGGTCTGTAGCCAGAAGTGGTAATTTGTATAACTCCAAAAATTCTTTCTAATTTTCTCATGAGTGAACTTATAAAACTTCCTCCTCGATCAGTAAGAACACATCCAGGTGCTCCAAACTGAGAGAATAAATGAGTAGCTACTGCATGAGCAATCGTGGTCGTTTTTATATCGGGAATAGTGAGAATCTACCGATTCCCATTTGGGGTAGTAGGTAACTTTCCTACGGTATCTAGGGATACTTTGTCAAAAGGGCCTGCAGGAGTATCGGTTATTATCAGGGGTTCGCGAGTTAGTTAGAACTAACTTATTTTGAAGGCAACTCTGACATCCTCGGATAAATTCTGATATTTCGTCTCGTATTCGCGACCAAAGGTAACTTTCGTGATATTCCGAAATAATTTTTGGTTTCAATTCTGGGGGTGGAACTGCAATTTTTCCGTAGCACAATATCATGGTGATATCGCCACCGCAGAATATTTTTGTTGGTATTTCTGTCATTTTACCTTGGGGAAGGGGACCTAACAAATCATCTGTATTTTCCATACGACATTTCGATCTAGTATCACGGCTCAAAGCTAATTTAAGATTTTTCAAACCTACAATTACGTTTCGCCAGTCAATTTCGTCATAATGTCTTTGTTTAACAATTATTGAATAGGTACAATACCGTCCACTAGGGGTAATAAGTAGCTGACCTATTTTTGGTCGTTTTTCCTGCAATTCTTGAAGATCGATTCTCTCAGTTGCCACTAAAAGTTTTAAAATAGCATCAACTGGTTCACAATCTTCTGACATGAAATGATCATAATTGTCTCTTTCATATGTTAATGGTTCTGACCATTTTTGAATTACGTTATTGTTAGTCAACACGTCTTTCGTCATTTTAAAGTCATTGTCGTCGGAAGTATCAGAAAAAGATAGGGAATCATAATACTACACCTTTGGAAGATTTTTCAATGGGTGTACATTTTGTTCCCGACACATTATCATTAGTTTCTTCCTGTAGTCGACGTGGCACAACACTAGATTTTTTTCCTATTTTTGAATCATTTGTTTTCATGTAGACAAATGGAGTAGATTGAGCATCAGGGATAACAGAAAATCCAGGTGTTTGAAATATTGATCTTTGCCATTGGGAATAATCCGTAGAGGGGGATTGCATGACATCTGGATCGTCCCTAAAACGTACTGTGCTCTGCCTTCCTTCAATTTGTTTTGGGGGTAATGTAAGCGAAGGTCGAGGCGAATTTTCCATTCTATCATTCGAAACTTGGCGCTTGTTGTAATTGTCAAAAAATTTTCTTATCCTCTCTGTGAATGCATCATCTTCGACATCACTATTTTGGCATGGATCAAGGGCTTCTAGAGTATCAAGGAGTTCTTCGTCATCTTCACCTTCTCATACATGCGTTACTTCTGGACGAGTAAACTCTTTGTCCATTCCTTCGTGGTCCCATGCTAATGTTAGGTTAGTTTGATCGAATCCTCTATTTTCCATTGACATGTCAAATTTCTGAAATGATTTTTCTAACTTACTTTTTACTTTCCACGCTTTGACGTCTGATTCTTCTTCTGTGCTTCCAATTGGTTGGGGAGCAATATTAATAATCACATCTTCAAGATCACAAATTTCTTCCTCTTTTTCTTCTTCGATTTCTAAATCGTCCATGATTTGTTCTTGATTGACACCTTCTTTTGCTAATTGATCGGCCATCTCATTACCAGTTAGGCCTTGATGGCTTGGTATATGTTCCCAGACAACGTTTAAGGGTTCTAAAGCTTTTGTTAATTTTTCAAAGGCAATGCGATTTTTAACAGGTTTATTTTCCTTAGTTGTCCATTGATTTAGTTTCCATTTTGGGATCCAATCTGTAACACTTTGAATTAAGAATTTTGAGTCGGTGTTAATCCTCAGATTTTGGATTACTGCTTCTTGAGTTTTTAAGGCGGCTACAGTTGCTGCTTCTATATCAGCTGCATTGTTTGTTTGTCTACCCTTGGATCGCTGAGAAACATTTAAGGGGTGATCATGACCAAACCAAATACCTATTCCAGCTCTTGGTTCTCCACTTCCGTTGAAACTATTTTTGTATATTTCAATACTCCCGCTCAAAAATAATCTTCATTATGATTATGACATACTATTTTATCTGGGAAATAATTCATGTTTATTGGCCCAACATTCGTTGCTAGGATTGAGGAAACCCAGTGAAACCCCAATCAGACCAAAACATTTGTTTTACAATGTTTAAGAGATTTAAAATTTAAATCAGAATATAAAATAACATTTGAGTATTTTAACTTTCAATTGAAAAGTGTAATTTTAAATTGAGTAGAATTATTTATGTAATTAATAATTTCATTTTCGACTATTTCTTTTCTTCGCATTTTTCTAGTCTCTCCCCACTCCAGCTCCAGTTATTTGCAATTACAATACAACTGTTATTGTCCTCAAAAATGGTAATTGGATTCGATATTTCCAATTTTATGCTGCCTAAGAGTGATTTCAACCAACATGCTTCTTTAGCCCTTTGCGGCATACATTACATTAAAAAACTAATTTAAAAAACAGAAATGCTTACGGGGGTTTTCGGGGTCGCTGATTACGAATCTGAATTCCTTTTTTAAAAATTCAAAATGGCGGATCCAATATGGCGGACAAATTTTTAAGAATTGATCGAAATCGGCTGAAAGTCGTTACTCGGGGGTTTTTGGGGTCGCTGATTACGAATCTGAAGTCTTTTTTCTAAAATTCAAAATGGCGGATCCAATATGGCGGACGAATTTTTTAAGAATTCATCGAAATCGCCTGAAAGTCATTACTCGGGGGTTTTTGGGGTCGCTGATTACGAATCTGAAGTCCTTTTTTAATAATTCAAGATGGCGGATCCAATATGGTGGACGAATTTTTAAGAATCAAACGAAATCGCTTGAAAGTCGTTACTCGGGGGTTTTTGGGGTCACTGATTACGAATCTGAAGTCCTTTTTTAAAAATTCAAAATGGCGGATCCAATATGACGGAAGAATTTTTAAGAATCAATTGAAATCGTTTGAAAGTCGTTACTCGGGGGTTTTTGGGGTCGCTGATTACGAATCTGAAGTTCTTTTTCCAAAATCCAAAATGGCGGATTCAATATGGAGGACGATTTTTTAAGAATTGATCGAAAACGCTTGAGAGTCGTTACTTGGGGGTTTTTGGGGTTGCTGATGACAAATCTGAAGTCCTTTTTCAAAAATTCAAAATGGTTTAAAATAAACATCTGCTGTTGAAAAACACCTCAGCGGTCCGCTGCGGACCAAATGACCTGCTCTTCAGTGAGCAAGCTTTTATATACTCGCCACTCAGGGCAAGGAGAGGGGGAACAGATACATTGCAACAAAACATTTCAAAATTTATAATACTGATTAAAATCAGCAACTTTATCAAACAGCCCTTTTGAGGCCTATACGATGTACAAAATCCGATCGTGCAACCTCCCCGCGGTGTACATCGGGTAACGCCAATGCCGAAGGTAAAATTATTAACTTCGTCCGCCATATTAGATCCGCCATTTTGAATTTTTAAAAAAGGACTTCAGATTCGTAATCAGCGACTCCGAAAACCCCCATAAGCATTTCTGTTTTTTAAATTAGTGTTTTAATGTAATATATAACAAAAAAAAATAAATTTCTCTTTTTATTTTGAAAATTTATTTATTTATAATTGTTTGTAATTGTTTATAATTTTAACGAAACTGCGTTTATTATTAATTTATTTACATTCAACAATGTTTGGTTTATCAATAAAAAAAGATTTTTTGATTTTGCTTTAAAAAGGTTGAATCTAACGAGAATTGAAAAGGTGGTAATCTGGGTTACCACTATGCCGCAAAGGGTTAATTCCTTCATAAAGAGCCATATACTCAGCTTCAGTCGATGACGTTGCTACTGAGTTTTGTCTCTTAGTATTCCAGCAAATTGTATTTTGATCGAATAATTTGAAGACATAACCAGTTGTGCTTTTACGATCGAGTTCATTACTCGCCCAATCCGAATCTACAAAACTGATTAGAGTTTCTTTATATTCGCATTTTCTGTAAACTAAGCGAAAATTTAATGACCCTTTGACATCGTAAAATTCTTTTTAGACATAACCATAGTTCTTTGTTATTTTTATCTTGATATCTACTCAAAAGATTGACCGCAATGCACAAATCGGGGCGTATGCATAACATTGCGTACATTAAACAACCAATGACGTTTCTACATGGCGCTTCAAAATATTCCGCTGAATTTAATTCGGAGTAATTTAATTTCGTTTCTAGAGGAGTTTTAATCGGATTACAATCGCTCATGTTAAATTTCTTTAAGACTGTTTGTAAATAACAGCTTTGGTCCAAAGTAATTACGTCATCTTTTCTTTCTATTTTTATACCGAGAAAAAAATTTACTTTGTTTAAATCTACCATTGAAAAATATTTCATTAAATATTGTTTGAAATTGATCATGGTAGTTTTATCATAAGTTATTATCAAGAGATCGTCAACGTAGAGAACTATTTAAATGTTTTTAGTTATTTCCCCCCTATCGA